AAGGCTCGCCCGTCCCGCGCCTAATCGCGCGGGAACTCGATCTCGTCTCGCCTCATTCACCTCTCGCAGAGTCCGCGCAGCAGATCGCGGCGCTGCAGCAGCAGCTGCTTACGCAGCGCGCCTCGTTTGAACTGAATCTGGCGCGGCTCCGTCAGGAGGGGCAGGAGGCGGCGGCGGCAGCAGCGCAGCAGGCGCGCCTGGAGCTAGAGGCCGCATCGTTCGAGGCGTCCGAAAAGGCGGCAGCGGCGGCGGCAGCAGTGGCGGCAGCTAAAGCGGCAGCCGGGTTGGAAACAGCAGAAGCGAGAACAGCAGCAGCAGAAGCAGCGGCGGCTGCGGGGGCGGCGCAGCAGGCACGGTTGGAGGCGGAGATAGCGGTGATGGAGGCGCGAGTGGGGGCGCTAAGTGAGCAGGCGGAAGCGAAGAGGGAGGGGAGGGAGACGGCGGCGCAGCAGCAGGCGCGGCTGGAGGCGGAGGTAGCTGCGATGGAGGCGCGAGTGGGCGCGCTAAGGGAGCAGGCGGAGGCGGAGAGGGAAGGGAGGGAGGCGGCGAATAGGGAGGTGACACGTTTGGTTGACGAGCTAAGGCGGGCGGAAGAGCGTGTGGCAGCATGCGAGCGAGAAAAGCAGACGCTAAGAGGTGAGCGGTGGGAGGGTGAGGGGTGGGAGGTGAGGGGTAAGGGTGTCAGTGTGCAGTTGAACGATATTTCTTTCTTTCCCTACTCCCCCTTCCCCGCTGCCCCTTTCCCGCTTTCCCCTTCCCTTCCTCCCCTTCCCCCTTCCCTTCCTCCCCTTCCCCCTTCCCTTCCTACCCTTTACCCTCTTTCCCTTCCCCTTTTCCCACATTCGCCCCTGCTTCCCACTGCCGTCCCCAACCCTTCCGCCTCTGTTGCCCCTCCCGACCCCATTTCCCTGCTGGGCCTCCCAAAACCCCTCGTGCCTCCCAAAACCCCTTGTGCCTCCCAAAACCCCTCGTGCCTCCCAAAACCCCTCGTGCAGAGGAGGCGGCAGTGCTGCTGCAACAGGCACTCGACCTCAGAGCTGCGCTGCAGGCAGCAGAGGCGGAGAGGGGTATTTTGAGTTGACTTAAAATGCACTGCCCTCCCCAACCCCCCAACCATGTGTGCAGAGGAAGCCGCAGTGCTGGCGAGACAGACACTCGACCTCAGGGCTGCGCTGCAAGCAGCAGAGACGGAGAGGGGGAGAGTGGCCGCTGCGGCTGCTGCTGCTGCGGGCGAGAGGGACGAGCTAATGCGAGAGGTGAATGAGGTGAGGCGAGAGGTGGATGAGTTGACGTTACTACAGGTGAAGGAGGTTAAAATGCTGCAGAGGGAGAGGGATGAGGCGAGGCGAGAACTGGAAGATGCGAAGAGGGAGTTGGATAAAGTGAGATTATTGCAGGTGGAAGAAGCGCAGGTGCTGCAGAGGGAAAGGGACGAGGCGAGGCGAGAGTTAGAGGAGGTGAGGAGGGAGTTGGATGAAGTGCGATCACTGCGCATGGAAGAGGCGCAGCTGCTGCAGAGGGAGAGGGACGAGGCGAGGAGAGAAAGGGACGAGCTGAGGCGAGAGATGGAGGAGTTGAGGAGGGAGTTGAATGAAGTGAGATCACTGCAGGTGGAAGAGGCGCAGGTGCTGCAGAGACACAGTCAGCAGCAGCCTTGCCAGATCCAGCAGCCTCAGCAGCAGCCGCAGCCGCAGCAGCACCATTTATTTCAGCAGCATGAGCAGCAGCAGCGGCAGCAGCATGAGCGCGTGGAGTGTCGGTTGGGCAGCAGCACGCAGCATGTGCTGGTGGATCGCCGGTTGTTACACTTGTTCTCACCAGATGCTGCTCGGAGCAACAGCAGCAGCAGCAGTGCAGCGGCAAGGGCTGAGGGCACTGGAGCAGTGGGGACAGAGGGCGAGAGAGGAACTGGAGGAGAGAGCGAGAGAGGAATGGCAGCAGCAGGAAGGGCAGCTGTGGAGGTGTGTGGTTTGCTGAAGGCAGCAGCAGCGGCTGTGGCAGCAGCAGGGGGGAGCAGGCAGGCGAGCAGCGATGCCCAGGCGCTGCTAGCACAGGCACAGGTGATACTATCGAATGTGATTGAATCAGGGAGCTTCGGAAGTGGCAGTGTCACTTCACACCCGGTAACCCCTTCGTCCGCCTCTTCATTCGGGCTTCTCTCCTCCTCGTCCTGCTCTTCCTCGTCCTCTTTAAAGGATGCTGCGATATTAGCTGCAAGAGCAGAGAGGGAACGGCTGGTGAGGAGATTGGAAGAGGCAGAGGCGCGATGGGAGAGGTCCCAGGACGAGTTAAGGAGGTGTTTGGAGGAGAAAGAGGAGCTAAAGAAGGAGTTGAGTGTGGTTCTGGGGAGGGCTGCGGAAGAACGGAGGGAGTGGGTGGAGAGGAGGGAAGAGGAGAGGAGGAAGAGTGGTGAGGTGATGGTGATGATGGGTGTAGTGGAGAGAGGGAGGGAGGAGGCGGAGAGGAGGAGGAGGGAAGCAGAGAGGAGGTGTGAGTGGATGGAGAGGAGGTTAAGGGAAGCAGAGAGGAGGCTGGAGGAGAGGGGGGTGGGGGTTGGCGTTGGGGTGGGGATGGGGGTGGGGGCTAGGGTGGAGGTGAGTGGCAAGGTGGAAGGAGAGGGTGGGAAGTCAGTGGGGAAGGGTAAGGGGAGAGAGGGGAATGGGGCGAGTGTGGGAGGAGTTGGGGATGGGGGATGCGAGGGTGGGGGAGGAGGGGGAGAAGGGGAGGTGGTATCAGCGGAAGGGGAGAGGAAGTGGCATCAAGACAGGCAGGAGGCATGGCGTGAGTGGGATAAGCAGCAGCGAGCGCAGCAGCAAAGGCAGCAGCAAGGGCAGCAGCGAATTCAGCAGCAAGGGCAGCAGCAAGTGGAGGAGCGAGGGGAGCAGCAGGCAGAGCAGAACAAAGGCATTGGGCAGGAGAGAATGCAGGGCGCACAGCACGAGCAGGAGCAAGGGCTGGGGGAGCAGGAGAAGCAGGAGGGGCAGCAGGGGCGGAACCAGCAGCGGCAGCAGCAGGCAGAAGGGCAGCAGCACGTGCAAGGGCGGAGCCGAGCAGAGCGGGTTTCAGTGTGGGCCCAACAAAGGTGGGTGCTGAGAGAACAATCAGGAATGCGGGGCAATCTGACATGCCTGCTATATAATAACCGTACTGGTTATATTTATCATACTTATTGTTCTTATCATGCCTATCACAGTTATCACAGATATCATGCCTGGCCAACTTCTCTTCCCTTCCCGTACCTGTTGCTCTCAGCCACCCCCACTCCTCTTTCCCCTTTTTCCAATTCATTTAAGCTTCATTTTCCCTCTGGAGTTTCCATCATTATTGATCGCCCTGCCGCCATCCAGACTGCAAGCCCCACCGTGGCCCTCGTTCTTCGCCCAATCTGCTTCTCCTGTTGTTTCTCTGTCACCTCTTCCTTGTTTCCCCCCAGGAGCCCACACTACCGCCGAGAGTACCGCCACCATCAGGATCGGCAGCATCGAGGCTACCACGCGTCCCCAATGCCCTCCCCCTCCTCCTCCGCCTCTAGTCATGCTGGTGTTGCTCCTCTGCAATCCCATGCAGCTCCCTCTGCCTCTGCCGTTGCTCCTCCCCTTCCTACTATGTCCACTCCTTTTGCTGCACCTGTAGTTGCTGCAGTCCCCTCTTCTTCTGCTGCTGCTGCTGCTGCTGCTACTTCTGTTAATTCTGTTGCTACTACTGCGGCTCAATCTTCATCTTCTTCTGCTGAAGCTCCTTCAAAGAGACATGACCCACCCGTCCCTTCCACCCCTTCTACGCCATCCTCCCTCTTCTCCTCCTCCTTACTCGCCTCTTACTGCGTACCTGGCAGTGGCAGTAGCAGCAGCAGATTGAGCCCACCGCACAGCAGAGAGCTGAACCGCACACAAAGCAGCATCACTGATGCAGATGGCGACTGGGGTACCACAGCAGGCAGGGGTGGTGGTGAATGGGAGGCTAGTGAAGGCAGGGGAAGCATCATTGCGAGCAGGAGACGGGATCAGCACGCTCGCACACACACCGCATCCTCGTCCCCGGCTCACAGCATTCTCAATCTCTCTTCTTTCATCTGCTCCCCCAATGGGTTGATGGACGGTGGGACGGTTCTTAGCTATCAAAAGGTGGTGGGCCCTGAGAGGGCCTTGGGGTGCTACTCTTCTGGCACCACCAACAGCAGCTTGAAGCACCACAGCAGTGGGAACGCCCCGCCATCTCCTCTCACCTCTCAACAGCACCTGTCTTCTGCTTCTGCTGTTGTGGTTCCTGGTGCTTCTGGTACTGTTGCTGCTGGTGCCTCTGTTGGGGACACCACCGCAAGCAACAGCAGCTTCCCCGCTGTAATTCCTCCACGCATCGCCCTCTCACACTCTGGTTGCATCTCTGAGACCAGCTCGGTCCGGCAAGGCAACAGGGTAGGCAGAGAGGGGGCGCACAGGCATGGAGGGCGCAGTGGCATAAGAGGGGGAGAAGGGTTGGAGGCAGCTGATTGGCTGTCAGAGCTCTCTGACAACGCGAGCATGGATGAGGTTGATCAAATACTGGCTCAGATGGGGCTCAGACCAGGAGAGGCGAGTGCGGGGGAAGGACGGGTTGCAGTTGCAGGAGGGGCGGAGGCAGATGGCACGAGAGGGGTTTATGAGGTCGGGGTGAGGAGGAGTGCAGGGGAGCATGATAGGGAGAGATTGCGGTATGAGCGGAGGCAGCTGAGGAGATTGATTAGGAAAGGGGCAGGTGGTCCAATGGAGTTTGGGGACACTATGAGCTTTGGGAGAGGGGACGGGAGCGGAGGGGAGTTAACGCCGAAGTCAACGGACTCCCTCAAGATTCAGTCATCACAGCATGCAAGAGATGCTATGATTCTCTATCAATAAGAATGCATTGTTGAATGGAGCTACCTAATAATGCAATCATAGTACCGCACATTGAATGTCAGTTGAAATAAGGATGCAGAAAATCACCCAACTGGATTCGAGCAATTGTTCTGGAAGCTAAAAGAGTCAAGTTCCCATATGCTTTGCTCGCTTTCCTGAGTCCAACTGAGCATAGCTGATCTTGGATCCATTGTCCATGGAAACCTGGACCACAGAATCAGCAAACGTCTGGAAGGCCCAATTGTGACTCACACAAAGGACCTGCCCCTTTTTTGCGAGCTCGCTCTGCACAAGAGCGCCAACCCTGCTTTGATTCTCCTCATCAAGGGCAGCATCCACCTCGTCCATCAGGTACACAAAGTTTTGGCTGCACTGGGCAATTGCCAAAACCAGTGCAACACTCAAAAGAGTTCGTTGCCCACCTGCAACAGACATACGCAAGTCACAACTCAGCAGAATAACAAGATATCAAGCATTGGGTCGCTTGGAAGATGCGTCTGCGTACCAGAGAGCTGACTGAGGTTTGTGTTCCAAGATGGTGCAGAATCCTCTGATGCAGGACTGTTACAGAAGGCAATTCTAATGCCATCTTCAACTGTTTCTCCAAGTTGAATGAGATTGACGGACTTGTTTGGAAGCAGATGACAGCATAGATTTTTAAATGAAGACTTCACACGAGTGTATGTGTCTCTGTTGACCATCAGCACCTGAACTCGCAACACTTTCAGTTAGCAGGAAGCTGAGAAACTCCAGAAGCAAAATTGACCAGGAGAATCAGGAATATCTCAGAGAACGGCCAGGAAAAGGTTTCTAAAAGGCAACAAAATGACAATACGCAGTAGGTGTAAAAAAAATTACCTTTGACTTTGCGCGCGATATTCCTTCATTCAGAACTTTCATGGAGTTAACAATGGATGCTGCTCGGTCCTTGAACATCTTCAAAGTAGACATGCGCTCCCCAAAGGCTTTCCTTTCTTGGTCTGACAGCTTTGCATGCTTGAGCCTGACATGAAAGAGCACTCATTGAGGGACATAGTTATGAGACTTGAGTGCTGGCATGTTTGAGGTAAGTAATACGGTACTTTGTGATGCGATGAAGAAGAGATTTCCACTCAGATTCAGGCTCCAACATTTCACTTCTATCCAGCTCCATTACATCTGAATCGGATACATCCTCCTCCTCTGTATTGGCAAGCAGCTCTGAGTCCTGCAAGTGCAGCCAAAATTAGCTTGAAATATACAAATCTGAGTGTAAGTGGGCAACCAGAAACTCACCAGGACTTTCACCACTTCTGATATCCTCTCTCTTGCCTCTGCAATCCCTCCTTGCGCGTTCTTCAGATCTAAATTGAGGCTTAGCAGTTGATCACGGAGCCTGTTGTGTTGTGCCTCCAGATTTTCAATGTCAGTCATGCACATATCCACCTTCTCCTTGTGCACCTCCCTTTCACGTATGGAGTTCTGCATATCTCCCTCAATTCCCTTAATCTGGAGCTTGATGGCGTCCTGCTGTTGAAGGAGTGTTCTCATGTTTTCCTCCAAATCTTGCACAGTGGTGCCATCCATTGCCTCCTCTATCAACAGCTTCTCATCTCTGAGCTTTGCAACTTGCATTGTCAGCATTTTCAGTCTTGACTCAATGTCCTGAACGGCTGAAAGAGCTTCCTTCCGCCAAGTGGGAAAATCAACAGTCGAATGAATTGGGTCAGCGCTCAGAAGCTTTTGGAGGTTTGCTACCAGTGATTCTTTTGCTTTCACCTTCCCTTCCACAGCCACAAGGGTATCTTGAGAGTCAACGATTGCTAGCTTAGCTTGTGTATACGAATCAGAAAGGAGCTTCACCTGAAAATTGAGCTGCAATTTAAAACCCTCGAACATAATAGCGAAACAGACTTTGAAGGAAGACATACCTTTCTCGCCAAAGCCCTTGTCTCTCCTGAAATGCCATCAAGCCTCAAAAGGTCTTGTTGCACCTTCTCAATCTCCAGAGCAAGCTGCTTCAGCTCCTGCAAAGGGGGCAACAGCATGAGAACAGTCTGCTTCGCAAAGGGTCAACAAAATAGCGTGACATTGAGATAATTATCACCTGTCCGAACTCTGGAATGCACAACGCTGCTCCCTGAATCTCGTTCTGAACTCTGTCATGTTCAAACTTGGTCACCATCACCCGAGGAGTCCTGCTACCTCTCCAGCCGCCAGAAAGAAAGCCTCTCTTGTGAATGTTTCCATCAATTGTCACGCTCCTGACGCCATGATTTAAGGCTAGGTCAGCTGCAACGGCGTCGTCCCTTGCAATAACAAAGCCGCTGAACAGCTTTGCAAGTGCTGGACGAAAACGAGGATCAAACTCAAGCAAATCAAGAGGAAGAACCACAGATCCGTCCTGGAACTTTTCTCTGACAGACAAATGATCTTGCCCTCTGTCATCCACAACAAGGGATTTCAGAGGCCAGATTCGACTGAACATGCTTGGGTGTCCGAGTTCTTCCCACTGGTCCAACAGAGACTTAGCATCATCCATACTCTCCACGATGCAAGTGGAACTGATCTGACCTGCAAGATCAGGGGAAGTGTTACAAGAAACGGAAAACACTAAAATCTGCAAGAAACTAGCTTCAGCAAGTCATATGTGCACCCACCTGCAATAACATCCAAGGCAGTAAGAAATTTGGAACAGCCAATTGCTGGATCTGTCTTGAAACGAAAAACGGAATGCAATGGCCAAGCAGGAAATCTCAAATCCGTGGGTTCCAGCCTTCCAAGCTGCGCTTTCAGGACCTCGAGCTGAGTCCGCTGGGCAGCTTCCTTTCTCTTCATGCAATATTGCTCCTGACTCTTTTTCTGTGACTCTGCTTGCAGATCTTGCAGCTGAGATAACAGCTCTTCCCTTGGCTTGTACCCTGACTTCTCCTCCTCAAAGGCCGTGATAGAATTTCTAGTAAGGTCAAGCTCTCTCTCAACTTCAGCAAGTGATTCTCCACTCTGGGAAAAAGAAGCATGCTTATGTTCGAGGACCTGCTTCAGTTCAGCCAGCTGTTTTTCCTCCTCCCTCAGAAAATCTGAAGGATGCTTCCCTGCTGATATTAACTCTAGCTCTTCAAAACGCGCAATCGTATCCTGATGCGCCTTGAGCTGATGACTGAGGAGCTTTTTCTCATGAAGGGTCTCTTTCAAACCAGAATCCACCTTTGCCAGAGCCAAATGGAAATCTCGTGCAGCTGCCTGCTGTACCTGGAGCACACGGATTTCTTCCTCATTCTCAGCAAGTTCACAGAGTGCTTCAGCATGCCGTTCCTCGTGAATATCTTCACACACGTCCTCTAATGCCTTCAGCTCTCGCATGCTGGCTTGCTTTTGATCACGTTCCCTGACAACACTCCGAATGCCATCATGTACTGTCTTCAATCTCTCTTGAACTGCTTTGGCCTCGCTTTCTAAAGTAATACTTCTCTCTGTCTCGTGGCTCTGTATAGCCCTCCCAACTTCGTCAAGCCTCTTGCACATCTGAGGGATTGGAACTTAGGAATGAAGACACTGGGGATGCAAAGCAGAGGCCTAAGAATCTTGGGCTTACCTTCCATCTTTCATGAGCTTCTTTGATCTTGGCTGTATCGGCAGCTGTCGCTGTCTCGAGCAGGCAAGTATTTGTGTTGATTTCCTGCAAACTCCTCTCCGTCTTCGTCACAACCTCTTCAGCCTTTTCCACCTCGGATTCCCACCTTGCTGGATCATTGCAAAGACAAGATGCAGAGTCGTAGGAAACAATGTAACGTCCAGGTGATAGTTCGCCATCCCTACTAATCAGAAACGACGCATGAGGTGAACTTGAAGTCATGAATCAATTCATATGTACCTGCTCCAGACACTCCTGAAATGAGGCTAGACAGCACTGCACCATCGTTTGCATTCGCTAACTCAGAAACCTGGGCCTGCTTAAGGCTTGTGCACGCATCCAGCATAATACGGTTCTCTCGAAGAAAGTCCTGTTTTGGTAGGATGTGAGAGTTTGAAATATCATGAAGTGCTAAATCTAGCAGTCAAGACTATACTGTACCTTGAGTTCACGCAGTGTCTTGAGCTTCCCATTGACTTTGGTCTGTCGAGTTTGATCTGGCAGAAGCTTTGCATCGATACAGATTCTGTCGACTGCACTTCCTCCTCTGGATGTACGTACTACTACGGAAACCTCACATCCTTCCTTAGTATCGGAAGATTGAAGACCGGCCAACGATTGCACACGCAATGCATGATAGGACTCGCCGAAGGCAAAGTGGATTGCATCTGCACAGCATTGAAGTGTCTTGATTAAAACTGGGACAGGCTAATGCTATGCAAGTTCACTGGTTTCGCGCTCACCCAAGATGTTTGACTTTCCACTTCCATTTGCACCAGCTATAAGGTTGAAGCCAGGAGTGAACCTTACTTCTTGCGGCTCATCGCGAAAGGACTTGAATGCTCGGATTCTGTTCAGTTTAGCAACTTGGTCAGCCACAATGAGGTCGATCGATAAGCTGGTGGGTCAAATCGTGCGTACCTGACTGATTCTATAAATGGACGCGAGTGCCTGAATGCAGCCATTGACAATCGGCAGACGTACTACAGGAGCTGCAATGCAACAATCGATCCTCGGAAAAATATCTGGGTGCATCACGGCAGTTGGTACATTGTGCTAGGTTCTGCCTCGCGGCCAGTGAAGTGAAGCACTACCCGAGAGTCATTCAAGCATGGAATCTCAAGGGTCCATGGCGAGACTGATTGGCCACCGGACTGCATCACGCTTTACTCCTCTGCAACCCGCGGAGAAGCGTGCAATCTCGTTGGTAGAGTGACCCCGAGGGCGAACCCTCCCAAATGAGTTTCGACCAAGTTTAGGACGCGTCCCCTCTAGTGAGTCAAGCGAGAACAAAATGTGAGAGAAGGCATAAGAGAACATTTATAGAGAAAACATTGAAAAGTAATGCGACGTATGCTGGCTAGTGCGATGCTAGCAGCGAGGTTCGGGCTAGTCCCAAAGCGTAGGCCGTCTCGGCCAAGTCCAGCAGTGCGAGGTTTGGCAAAAGTAACACCGTTAAGCGGTAACGGGCGAAGAAAACGGTTGGCCTTGTATCGTACATGCTGCTGAGGTGCGCAGTAAGGAATGTCGAAAAAAATCACGCTATCCCTGCCTGCTTTTTTGCTGCATTTCTTATGGTACTACTAAGCCATGAGATGGGAGGTAAACAGAGAATGGACCATGATCACAGCAGCCTTGCAAATACAGCTTATTGTACCCAGTATGGATGATTACTGAGGTGAAGTAGTACATGCCAGCATTGATCAATTCGCAATTCTTCGACCTGCCCCTAAACCAATCTGAGAGCCATCATTGCCATTAGCATCATTGCACATCGTCTTCCAGAGCCCATGCAGGACCATAGATAGCCACGTTGGTCCGACCATACTTTCGATCCTTAATCTGCACACCACGAAATGGGGAGAATATAATCAGTACACAAGGGAAGAATGTCCATCTGGCATGGCAGCATGAATGGGCATGAATGGGCATGGATGGGAAAGGAAGGATTTAGAAATGAGATGTGTTATGCAGCAGGAACGATACAATCACCTTATATAGAGGACCGCATGTGTCCAAGATCTCATCCCTAGTTTTGATTGGATACTCCACCACCTGCCAGGATGCAGGAGATATTATGGGCAGTGTGTGGCGGACAGGGTAAGATGGGCAACACAGACATGACATGGCATACTGACATGGCAGCACGCATGCATGCACCGTCACAGCACCACCATTCCCTCCCCTCCTATGCCCTGAATCACAATCGCTGTAATGGTGATGGCACATGCATGATTTGATTCCATAAGGAATCCCCCGCACTCACCATGCATGTGTGGTAGTGTAGCAGCAGCAGGGAAGCAGCGAGCTGGGCCATTAGGTGGCTGTACATGCATGGTTCCATGATCCCTTCCCCTCACACCACCACCCACACACACACGCACCCACACTCCATGCATGCACGCACGTACGCACCGTGCAAGTTTCTGGGTGCAGCAGTGGGGAGGCAGCGAGCTGAGCCATGAGGTGACTGTACATGCGTGCATCCATGAATACGCACCACCCCCCTCCCCCTCCTCTTCCCCCTCCACGCTCCCCCCTCCCCCCACCCCACACCCACCCACCCACCCCCACCCACCCATCCACCCACCATGCACGCACCATGCATGTTTCTGGGTGTAGCAGCGGGGATGCAGCGAGCTGGACCATGAGTTGACTGTAGACGCATGCATCCTTGATAACCCCACCCCCCCCCCCCCCAAAAATCTCACCCACACCCACACCCACACCCACACCCACACCCACACCCACACCCACACCCACACCCACACCCACACCCACACCCACACCCACACCCACACCCACACCCACACCCACACCCACACCCACACCCACACCCACACCCACACCCACACCCACACCCACACCCACACACACAATGCATGCACTCATGCACACACCATGCAAGTTTCTTGGTGCAGCAGCGGGGAAGCAGCGAGCTGAGCCATGAGTTGACTGTAGACGACGAGCTCATAGGGGGGTGTCACGCTGATGAAGCTGAAGGGGCCTCCCACCCACTCGGCTGTGAGGGCGACAAGAAGAGTGCAGGGCAGGAGGGTGGGGGGGGAAAGGACATGGAGGGTTTTAGCAGGAGTGCTGCTGAGATGAAGCTCATAGGGGGGGGGGGGTGGGGGTGACACTGATGAAGCTGAAGGGCCCTCCCACCCACTCGGCTGCAAAAGCGAACAGAAGAGTGGAATGGAAAGCAGCACGGCAGTTCTAAGCATAAGAAACAGAACAAGGGGGTTAGATTAGAGCAGGCTGCCACGGGGGAAGGGCGGAAAGGGAGCAGGGGAGAAAGTGAGAGAAAGGGTGGGGGAAGGGGGAGGAGGGAGGGAGGATTGAATAAAAATAGGCCCGGAAAGACATTGGGTGAAGGAGAGGAGCAAGACAGTACGGGACGTGGAGAAGGATGGATGGGAGGAGGAGAGGGTGCGAGATGGAGAGGAAGAGCGAGTGCAGGACGAGGAGTGAGAGGGGCAGGTCGGGAGAAAGTGAGGGAGTAAGGAAAGAGGAGATGGAAGGCAAAAGGCTGATGAGGATTTAGACGAGAAAAAATGCCTCCGTACCTCCTCTTACCTCCCTGTACCTCCCCGTACCTCCCCGCACCTCCCTGTACCTCCCCGTACCTCCCCGCACCGCTCCGTACCTCCCAGTACCTCCTCACACCTCCTCATACCTCCTCGTACCTCCTCACACCTCCTCATACCTCCTCGTTCCTCCGCTTGCTGAAGGAAGGATTCGACTTTGAGTGGGTGGATGGTGGTGTGGGAGGAGGCGGAGCAGGCTTCAATGTTGGGAGACAGCACAGAGGATACGACCCATGGGTCCATCTCCACAAAGTGCGCCTGCGAAGGGGAGGGGGAGGCGGAAGACAGGGGCAGAGGGGGGGGGGAATGTGAGCAGAAGCACAGAGGATACGACCCAGGGGTCCATCTCGACAAAGTGCGCCTGCGAAGGGGAGGGGGAGGCGGAAGACAGGGGCAGAGGGGGGGGGAAATGTGAGCAGAAGCACAGAGGATACGACCCAGGGGTCCATCTCGACAAAGTGCGCCTGCGAAGGGGAGGGGGGGGCGGAAGACAGGGGCAGAGGGGGGGGAATATGTGAGCAGAAGCACAGAGGATACGACCCAGGGGTCCATCTCGACAAAGTGCGCCTGCGAAGGGGAGGGGGAGGCGGAAGACAGGGGCAGAGGGGGGGGAAATGTGAGCAGAAGCACAGAGGATACGACCCAGGGGTCCATCTCGACAAAGTGCGCCTGCGAAGGGGAGGGGGAGGCGGAAGACAGGGGCAGAGGGGGGGGAATATGTGAGCAGAAGCACAGAGGATACGACCCAGGGGTCCATCTCGACAAAGTGCGAATGAGACGGGGAGAGAGGGGAGGGGGGGGAGGGGGGGGGGGGGGGGGGGGGGGGGGGGGGGGGTAGGGGGTGCGAATGTGACCAAAAGCACGAAGCCGCGGCACAGGCCCAGCCAGCGCGTGCCGGCCATTTCTGCCCATGCCATGCAACCATTCCCCCATTCCCCCATTCTCCTCACCTGTGCACACCCTCGACTCATGGCCTCCAGACCCGCACTCCCCGTGCCGCTGTACAGGTCCAGCTAGCCAGCTGACAGAACCCCGCCCTTCACTCAAGAGAGCCCCGCCCTATTACCTGCGTACAGCCCCTGCTCATGGCCTCCAATCCAACGCTTCCCGTGCCACTGTACAGGTCCAGCCAGCGCGAGCCGGGCGGCAGGCGGTGCGGCGCGTCCAGCAGCGCGTGCAACATGTCGAAAACCGCCGCCCGCACCATCTCCATCATGGGGCGCACGTTGCGGTCCGCGGGGGACAGAAGGCGCCTCCCCCTGTTGGAGCCTGATACAATCTGGAAGGAGGGAAAGGAGGGAAGGAGGGGAGGTGGAGGAGCGGGAGAAGGAAGGGTGGAGAGAGCACGGACAGGGTGGGCAACAGAAGGCGCCTCCCCCGGTTGGTGCCTGAAACAATCTGCTGGGGGGTGAGGGGGGGAGGGAAGCGGAGGAGAGGAAGGGGGGGGAGGGGGAGAGGGAAAGGGGTTGCAAGGAGGGGAGAAGGGGGTAAGGAGGAGGGGGAAGAGACGGGAGTAGGAGTAGGAGATCACAAGTCTGGTGTCAGCGGGTTTAAGGTCTCGGGTTTAAGGGTTTTGGTTCAAGGTTTAGGGGTTTGGGTTTCAAAGTGCCCGCCCGCACCATCCACACCATCATGGGGCGCACGTTGCGGACGGGGGAGGACAGAAGATGCCTCCCTCGGTTGGCGCCTGCCTTAGATAGGGAAAAGGGGAGAGGCGGAAAGAAGGGGGGAAGGGGAGGGGAAGAGGGCAGGGATGGAGAGGCAGGAGGAGGGGAAGGCAGGGTGGGGAGAGCGCGGAAGGGGCGGGCGAGGCGGAGGGGCGGGAGGGGTGGGTGGCGGAGAAATGGTGGGAACGGAAAGGAAACGGGATGGAAAGGCGGGGAGGGAACACACACACACCTCCTCCCCCCCCCCCGCATTCCCACAACCCCCTTTTCCCTTTCCCCCCTTTCCCTTCCCCCCCTCGCCCTCCCTCCCACTCCTCGCCACACCCCCCCCCACACACACCTTGAGCAGTTTGTGTGTGCTGCGCGTCTTCCCAGGCTCCAGCCCAGCAATTCCCGCCGCCTCATTTCCCCCCGCCCCTCCCCCCACTGCCCTTCCGCTGTCCGCTCCCCCGCGCCCATCCGCCCTCCCCCGCCCTTCCGCGTCCTCCGCCTCTCCGCCCATGAGCGCGGCGGGGTCGACAAGCCACCCCTTCCCCAGGGAGAACACCTCCTCGCTCACCGACGCCCCCCCACCCCCTCCGCCGCTCCTCCCCGCGCGCTGCCCATCCGCGGAACGCGCTGGCTTCGATTTCCGCTTGGTGGACTCTGCCGGGTGGTTGGGGGAAGCTGGGAGTGGTTAGGGGAAGCGGGGTGGTAGGGGGAAGCGGAGCGGTAGGGGGAAGCGGAGCGGTAGGGGGAAGCGGAGCGGTAGGGGGAAGCGGAACGTGAAAGGAAGCGAAGGGTACGAGGAGAGAGCAGAGTGAGGGAAGAGACGAGGGGACGAAGGGAAGGGCATGCGAGAGTGCAAACAGAGTCGTAACATAAACGAACCCGAACTGTAAACAGAAGCATTCCATGTGAGGAATGAGCGGATGTGTAAGAAGGCTCGGTGGGATTGAATTGCCGTCAATTGCCGTTACGGGATGCGAGAACTTTTTCTCTTTTCTTGCTTAATGCCCACCGATGGATATATGGGGAATCCGACCACCAACTGATCCGGGTATGACCTAACGCTTCACCTGGATCCGGCTGTCCCACCACGGGTCTTAGCCGCTCAGTCCCTCTCAAGGGGATCCCACACTGGGGAACAGGCTTCACCGTCTGTCTGGGCTTGCACGGACAGGTCTATGGAGGTGCATACGAGAAAGAGTGTCAGAATCCTTTCAATATCACCGGGAGAATACAGAGTAGCAGCGAAAAGCGAACTATTGTGATATATTTTTATGAAGAAAAAGTTCGTGATTCGCCAAACGTGAAACCGTCAAACTTGAACGAGCCTCTCTGGAAATGGTTTGAGTGACCAAACGTGATAGGTGGGAATGGCTGGACTAGGCGGCAACCGTTAGCTGTTGGGAGGTAAGTACACTCACTCGGCCGTCTAAGTGAACCGGCGTGCCGACCGCATTGAACGGCTAGCCGTTGACTGGTGCGAGGGAGGGAACAGGGCGCTGAGGATGTACGCGCTAAAGGTTGCCCCTGTATTGAGTGAGAAAAGGTGTGAGACGTGTGAAGCGGTGAAATGCGCTCCAGCGTACATGCCATGATTCCGCCACGCGTTTGCAGGTACTACTAAACGCCGCGTGTTTGCATGCACTATTAAACGCCACGTGTTTGCAGGTACTATTAAACGCCTCGTGTTTCAATGACGGAAAAAGGCGACGGTCGCGACAGTTTGCAGATAAGATTGGCCACTGAACCGACCAAAGACAGCCTTACGAACCTTCCCGCGATGTGCGGAGGTAGTACTATCGGAATCGAGCAAGCATAAAAGCAGGGTACAAGGTTTTTGGATTTCAGGTTCAGATGGGATTTAATTTGTGATTTTAACATAAATAGCAGCTCGAAGTGTCGACAACTATATCGGATATCGAGCTAGTTCTGTCTGGGTATATCTGACGAGCCGCGTCACAATGTACCGCGTACACAACAGCATCCCTGGGGAACTACGTGGTTCCAGCCAATCACCCTGCATTGTGACGAAATTCACATACAGACGATGCCCGGTTGAGCCCCCCGACCTCGCCTTACCCTCTGGGCTTATAAGCGATTCTCGCTTCGCTTGAAGATTTCGTCAATTCGCATCGGGCAAAAAGGGCTTATAAAAAACAATTGTAACTCAACGCTGACTGTTTGACTTTGGTCTCGTCAGTCAAACTTCAGTTTCTGTGGTTCGTATTGGTCGACGTGCTTGTAACGTGGGTGCAACGTTACGACTGGCACAAAACCCACGGGTGCAAGGTTTCCATCCGGTGCAAGGCAATTTCGCGTGCAGGAGGTGAGCAACAGGTGTACCACGATGATGATCGTGCCAGCTGAACCATCCGCACCACAGCTCGCGAATGTAACAGCTGCAGCTTGCGAAGGAAAAAGCGATGTGGCGAAACCTAGTTGGGTTAGGGCGTGTGTGATAATGTTTAGGTTCAGAAAGCAGGTCGGACTTTTTTTGGTTACCGGTTTCGTCAATTTCGCGAAAACTGTGTGACGAAAGACCTCCTCTTTGAACACATGGCAAATGCGACCCAACTTTCCGAACTCGACTCGAGTCAATGCATAAGTGTGGGTGCGTACAGTGAACCGAACGTGTGTTGTTTTGCGCACGTACAACAATTGACGAATCATGCGAAACCTCCGCGACGCAATAATACCTCCGCCGAAAACCACAGTAAATATGTTGACGTGGCGCGATGTCTACGGAACTATACCTGGTAACCTACATCCCCTACGAGCGGCTCGGCGCACCCCCGATAAGGTCGAACATTCAAATTCGACCTTGGGTGTGTGATTCGACCTACCTGAAACTGCTATGCGCGGTTCAAACTTCACGTTCAACGGAAGTCGAACACTGTTCGGCTCAAGTTCAAATGCTACATTCGACAAAAAAAAAAATGTAAGCTTAGCCAATTTCAAAAATCACAAACGCCCTTATCCCTCAATACCACAGCGTCAATCGACGGCTCGATGCATCGACAAGTGGAAGGACCCTCACATCGACGGTTCGGATCTCCAGACCTTCCTTTCCAAGCCATGGCGAGAACTACAGCACAAGAGAAGCACAGCAGCCCAGCCGAGCAGTGAGATGAGAAGCCCTTCATCCATCATGGTGTTTGGGGGAGCGACAAACAAGCAGCAGAGAGCACGTGGTCTGTCCGTCTGCCCAGAGCCTACCGCGCCGACTGCAATTATTCCTCCCAACCACAGCGCTCCGTCTTTCCCGTCGGCCTTCCCCCCCGCTCCTCCGTCCGACCTCCTTCACGCCAAGGCTCTCATTTAGTTCCACGTCAATGATGACGGAAATGCGATTCCTGTGTCTCCTCCTTAGCAGCTTGCACCACGGTATAGAAAGGCTGTTGAGCCAGCGAATAGCACCATTTATTAGTGGGCGATTACAACCGTTGGTACCTGCTCCCAGAATACCTGTTTTCTATTATAGAGTTAAAGTATCGCGAGATGTGGTACACCATTCGAGACGCGTTCGAGAAAGCATGGCTCTCTCAGGACGACGATTTAGTCACTATTTCGTCCTTCCGCGAGCCCGAGTCTTTGAAACCTGAAACAGCGGACGTCCAAAACACTAGCAGCAGCAGCCAATCCGGAGCGAGCCTAAGGGAACAGGATGTTCTGGCGAAGACTCTTCATACGGAGGAGACGGAATCTACTGATGATGGTGAGAAGAATCTGCGCTACGAGAGTCAGGAATGGCAGTTTCTGGACGCGGGTGACGGTTACCACACGATCAAGAACCGGCACTCTGGCGATTCTATCCGCCACTGGCGAGGCGAAGACGTCACCGCCGTTCCAGATGCTGACGTGTCGAATTTCAACCACCAGTGGAAGCTCTACGACGTGGGGAACGGCCTCGTCGCTATCAGGAACCGCTGTACAGGTATGGTGCTGGCGCGCTGTCTCGATGCCGTGATGGCGTATAACGGGGATGAGAGGAACCCGAACCATTGGTGGAAAATAGAGGAGGTGTCTCCGTCAGCAGTGTACTATGTCGGACCTTGGGAGTACCTTCGGAATCGCAGGAGCGGCAGGGTGCTGCAGCACTCGCATCATCAGCAGACGTTGACGGATTCCGTCAAGCCTGGCAGCTCCGTCAATCCTACCAGTACCAACACTGTTCAGTCCGTCAAAGCGGTAGAGCTGATTCCTGGCGACGTCACCCAGCAGTGGCGGCGGGTTGCCGTATCAGAGGGCTACACGTGCCTGCAGAATCGCTCCTCCGGATTTCTCCTCACTGTGATATATGAGGCGCCTCTGAGCTCCTCCCTGCGCACCACGAACAGCGACACCACTGTTCGTGGCGCCTCTGACTCCAGGGCCGAATCATGCGCGATTACCACTGTCACTGCGTCGCTGGCAGCAGCACTTCCAGTGGAGGAAGCCCAGGCGAGGAACAACGAGGTGACTCGTGAGGGCAATCAGTGGCTGCTGGCGGAGGTCAACGGCTTGGAGATCTTCACTCTGCAGAGCCGCCAGGGGGGAGCGTTTCTCGAGAACACGTGCGGGGAGAAGGTGCGAGGAAGCTTGGGAGCGGTGGAGGCGAGCACGTGCTGCCAGTGGGCCGCCATCCGTGCGGATGAGCTTGATGACGTGGCCAAGGCAACAGTGGATGACGTGGCGGGATCCCCACTGGAACTCTTCAAAGCGCCTCGGAAGTCCAAAGCAGCGGTGCTTCTTGAGGCGCCTAAAAAATCCATGCTGGAGCTTGCACTTGGTAAATCCACGCCCCTGCAGCCCGTGCTGCAACATTCTCTGCCAGCCTCGCCGTCTTCGCTGCCAGACGACTCGACACCAGCCACACCTACAACGCCTGCTAAACTCGAACCCTTGCTATCACCATCACCACAATCAGGATCATCCCAGCCGCCACATTTGATGCCAAAACTCCTGTCAATTTCTACCGAGTTGACGGAAGGGGCGTTTGACGGGGGGTTAGAGTCAAGGGACAAGGGAATTGACGGGGAGCGATACTCCACCACGGCTCTACCCGTGCTCCTCCCCTGGAGCTACCTTCGCAACCGAGTCACTGGCATGGCTCTTGCTGCGCATGCGAGCGGCAGCGTGGAGGCGCGGGAGTTTGAAGGGGGGAGCCTGCAGCAGCATTGGCGCGCTGTGAGTGTGGGCAGGGTCGCATCCGCACCTGCAGTCTCCTACTTCTTTCTTCAGAACCGCGCCTCTGGGTTCGTTCTGAGCCACTCCTGGTGGGGCAGCCACGTGGCTGCTAATGACTGCCACGTGGCAGGGGAGTACAGCCAATGGGAGCTGAGAGGCGCGTGCGGAGGGTTCTGGGCGATCAAGAACCGAGGCAGCGGGAAAGTTCTGGATCATTTCTTTGGGATAAGCATTCAGGCTTATAGCGAGGATGAACTACAGTATCAGCACCACTGGACCATCACCCCTGCAGGGACCACTGGTGGGAAGGCGCACTGGGAGCAGGAGGAGGAAGAGAGCGGTGACAAGTGGTGCAAAGCGGTGCAGGGTGGTGGTGAAGGGATGGTGAGCCTCGCACTTGTAGTGGACCGATCGTGGAGCTATGTGTTCAACCGGGACAGTGGGAAGGCGTTGGCTGTGTGTGAAGAGAATGTTGAGGCTGTGGACTATGAGTGGGGAGCCTTGGAACAGCAGTGGCGAGTAGTGAAGACGGAAAAGGGTTACCATGTGTTGCAGAATCGCGTGAGCGGGCTGGTTCTGGATCATTACAGTGGGCAGCGGATCGGGGCGTATGACAATGATTTCAGCAGCGAGTATCACAAGTGGCAGCTGAGAGACATAGAGGGAGGCGTGTATGTAGTATTGAAGAACAAGAAAACGGGTATGGTGCTGGACCATTACTATTGGGAGCGGTTGGAAGCGGTGAGGGGTGATGAGAAGAACAAGGCGCAGCACTGGAGGGTGGTGCCTGCCAGGCAGATGGTACGAGAGGGCATGGGTCCCCAGCCTTCCCCTGAGACCGAAACCGTGGTGGGAGATTTGATTTCCCTCTGGGAGAGAGACAGTGTGCCCAAGGGGAAGCTGAAGGGGGTGTATCTAGTGGAGGGTGGCAAGCCTCGTCACGGCATTCGGGTGGTGAAGTCGGGGTTTCGTCAGAGCCGTCAGATCCATCTGCTGCAAGTGAGCATCCAAGGGCTGGCATACGCGAGTGTGGCTGTGCCGGCTGGAGTGGAGGTGGGGAGGGGGAGGATCCGGGCGGCACTGAGGAGGAGTGCGGAGGGGGGAGGGGAGGTGGTGGTGGTTGACTCGCTTGACTTGATGAGAATTCCCGAGGTGGAAGGGCCGTTGGTGAATCTGGTTGTGTTTGTGGGGGTAGCTGCGGAGCAGGTTTGCATGTGAGTGTGTGAGATAGGGCTGAGTGGTACTGTAGGGTGACAAGATGGGAGGTGGTGGTGGTTGACTCGCTTGACCTGCTGAGGGTTCCCGAGGTGGAGGGGCCGCTGGTGAACCTGGTGGTGTTTGTGTTAAACTGTGTTATGTTGGTAGGCTGTAGTGGGGTAGCCAATATGGGGTACAACCCCAACTAGGGTTTGCTACTTGTACCCAACTGTTTCATTCAATGCATCATTCTCACGCTAGTATTCTGAAATGGTAATCAGAGCAGGTGGTCCCTAGGACCATCCGATCGTTTTTTTTAGGGCCCACCACCGCACGCTGCGGTTACCGCGTTACCCCCGCGCCCTACCCTCGTAGCGCCCTCGTTGCGCTCTAGCGCCCTCGTAGCGCCCTTTGTAGCGCCCTCGTGCGCCCTGCCGACCGGCGTCCTGCCAGCCCAGAGCCCCGCGCGCCTCCCTTGCTTTGCCAGTCGTGCCGCCCGCTCTGCCCCGCGCTGCCCGTCGCGCTGCCTCGCAGCCCCGCGCACCGCCCGCTGTGCCCCGCGCCGCCCGTCGATCTGCTGCGCAGCCCCGCGACCCGCCCGCCCTGCCCCGCGCTGCCCGTCGCTCGGCTCTGCAGCCCCGCGCGCCGCCCGCTCTGCCCCGCGCAGCCCGTCGAGCTGCCTTGCAGCCCCGCGCGCCGCCCGCTGTGCCCCGCGCCGTCCGTTGCGCAGCCCGCCCGCCCGCCTCGCTGCCCGCTTGCAGCGTCGCCCGCCAGTCGCGCTGCCCGCCTGCAGCGCCTCCTGCCTACCGCACTGCCCGCTCGCAGAGCCGCCCGTCCGCCGCGCTGCCCGCTTGCAGCGCCGCCTGCTGCTCCCTGCCCGTGCGCAATTGCCCACCCCTGCTGCGGCAGCTTGCGTTGCTCTGTCGCACTGTCGCTATGGCTTCCATCCGCGTGCTGTCGTTCGATGCTGAGGGCCGCCCTGTGCGGTTCACCGCTTGGCTAGATGACCTGCAGCTGTTCCTCCTGAGCGATTGCAAGGAGCATGTGTCGCTCTGGTGCTGCGCCTGCCCCTCCTGCCACAGCTGAGCTTAGTGTTCGTTCCCACTGGCAGACTCGTGACGCAGCTGCTCGCCTAGCCATTCGCAGTCACCTGCCGTTAGCTGAGCTAGAGCATTTTGGCGACTGCAAATCCGCTAAGGCCCTGTACGACGCTGTCGTTGCTCGCTACTCCTCGCCTGCCACAGCCGAGCTTAGCCGCCTCATGCTGCCTTACCTGTTCCCTGACCTGTCCACCTTTGCTACAGTCGCCGATCTTATCACCCACCTTCGCACTAGTGATGCTCGCCTGCGTGCCGCCCTTCCCACCGAGTTCTGCGCTAAGAACCCCCCTCCACTGTACTGGACACTCCACTTCATAGTCACCCGTCTCCCTGACACCCTCAGCTCAGTTCGAGACCACTTCCTTGCTCGCTGTCCCACTGAGCTCACAGTCGCCCTCCTAGAGGAGGACCTGCTAGCGGCCGAGAAGAGCATTGTAGCTGTCGGTGCTGCTCGTGGCGCTCCTCGCACCCCCATCTTTGAGGGGTGTTCTCCCTCTCCCCTCGCTCCCTCCTACGCTACTGCTGCTGCTGTTGACTTCCTTGGTGCTGAGTCTGCTGGCGCTGCTTCTGCTCCTGGTGGGAGGCGCCGCACCGGCAAGGGCAAGGGGGGCAAGGGTGGCGGGGGTGGCGCTGGGGGGGGAGGAGGTGGGGGAGGTGGGGGGGGAGGCGGTGCTGGAGGGAGCGGTGGCGGTGGTGCTGGTGGGAGTGGGGTCGGCAGCGGAGGCGGGGGCGGCGGAGGGAGCAGTGGCGGTGGTGGCGGCGGCGGCGGTGGCGGCAGTGGCGGTGGCGGCGGTGGCGGTCGGAGCGGAGGTAGTGGTGGCGGCGGAGGTCGGAGTGGAGGCACTGGCTCGGGCCAGAGCTCCCAGCAGCAGCAGCGTCCCCAGACGACCCAGCAGCTTCGTGAGTGGCTTGCTCAGCGTGGGACGTCGGGGGGCAGTGTCCGCTGTTCCTATGTCATTCGCACAGGTGACCGCAAGGGACAGACGTGTGGGAGGTTCCACACCCCGTACCGCTGCTTCTCCCGCCTTGACGACGCTTGGCGTGAGGAGATGGGCGAGGAGGTTGAGCTCCCTCGCTGGGCGGAGCTGATGAGGGCTGGTGTTGATATCTTTGCTCTTGACTATGATGCTATTATTGCTGCCATGTATGCATTGACTGTTAGTGCCGAGGGAGACTGTTACTTGTGTGTGCCGCCTGACCTAGGTATAGAGCCCGCTGCCCTAGGTACTAGTGAGTCTGCTCTCTCTGGTATGGTGCCCTCTGTGGCTGCTCCCTCCGGTACTGTCCCTGCTGCTTGTGAGTCTGCTCTCTCAGGTACAGCACCCACAGAGACTGCTCTCTCAGGTACTGCACCGGCTGAGGCCTGTCACACCTTCACCCTTGACTCAGGTGCTTCCCGCTGTTTCTTTCGTGACCGTACTGAGCTCACACCACTTCCTGCACCGGTCCCAGTCTCCTTGGCTGACCCCTCTGGGGGCCCAGTCCTTGCACGGTCCACCACTGTGCTCCCGTGTCCAGCGGTTCCGTCTGGCTCGTTGTCGGGTTTCCACCTCCCCTCGTTCTCGACGAACCTGGTGAGCAACGCTGTCATCCAGGATCAGTGGGTTGACACCTTTACCCCTGGAGGACAGCGTGTGGCGATCCTCACGTGCTCCAGGACCGGCCGTCACCTGGCTACGTTTACCCGTCAGCCGGGGTCGAGTCTCTACACACTGTCCACTGCGTCTCCTCAGGTCGCTGCTGTCGGTCAGGTGTCCGCGTCAGGTCTGGTAGCCCACGCCTGTGAGTGTCGTTCCCTGTCGCACCAGACTCTTCTCTGGCACCACCGCCTGGGTCACCCCTCCTTGCCACGCCTCCGTGGCATGCACCGTCGCCACCTTGTGTCTGGTCTTCCCAGGTCCCTCCCTCCCCTCCCTGCCTCGCCTGCGCCGCCTTGCCTTCCTTGCGTCGAGGGGCGGCAGCGCGCCGCTCCTCACTCCTCCTCGTTCCCCCCGACAGAGGCTCCTCTGCAGACCCTCCACCTGGACGTGTGGGGCCCAGCCCGCGTTCGTGGTCAGGGCGGTGAGCGGTACTTTTTGCTGGTCGTCGACGACTACTCGCGTTACACCACGGTCTTCCCCTTGCGCACCAAGGGTGAGGTCCCTGCTGTTCTGATCCCTTGGATCCGCACAGTTCGTCTCCAGCTCCGCCGCCGTTTCCGGACGGATCTTCCTGTCCTGCGTCTGCACTCTGACAGAGGTGGTGAGTTTTCCTCCGACCTCTTGAGGACCTTCTGTCAGGCGGAGGGCATCGAGCAGACCTTCACGCTTCCGGACTCCCCACAGCAGAATGGGGTTGCTGAGCGCCGCATTGGCCTGGTCATGGAGGTCGCTCGTACCTCCTTGGTCCACGCGGCGGCTCCCCATTTTCTGTGGCCGTTTGCTGTCCGGTACGCCGCGCATCAGCTCAACCTCTGGCCCCGTGTCTCCTTGCCGGAGACCTCGCCCACACTGCGTTGGACGGGGGAGGTTGGCGATGCGTCGCGCTTCCGGGTGTGGGGTGCTCGTGCCCTTGTCCGCGATACGTCCGCGGACAAGCTCTCCTCCCGCACGCTTCCCTGTGTCTTCCTTGGCTTTGTCCCTGACGCGCCTGGCTGGCAGTTTTACCACCCCACCTCGCGCCGGGTCTTCGCCTCTCAGGACGTCACCTTTGACGAGTCGGTCCCTTTTTACCGTCTCTTCCCCTACCGCACTGCCCCCCTCCCTCCCCCGCCACTTTTCCTTGCTCCTGGTCCCCCTCCGGTAGACCCCCTTCCCCCTCAGGGTCCTGCTCCTTCAGGTGTCTCTCAGGTAGACCCTCCTCCCGTCGCTGAGCCTGTCGAGGTCACAGGTGACTCAGGTGCTGCTGCAGGTGGTGCTGCTGGGAGTGCTGAGCCTGGGGGTGCTGAGCCTGCGGGTGCTGGGCCTGGGAGTGCTGGGGCTGCGGGTGCTGGGACTGCGGGTGCTGGAGCTGAGGGTACTGTGCCTGAGAGTTCGACGCCTGGGGGTGCTGAGCCTGGGGGTGCTGCGACTGGGGGTGCTGAGCCTGCGTGTACGGAGTCTGGGGGTGCTGAGCCTGGGGGTGCTGCGCCTGAGGGTACTGAGCCTGGGGGTGCTGCTACTGAGCCTACGGAGCCTGGGGTTGCTGCGTCTGGGGGTGCTCCGGTTCGGGGTGCTGAGCAGTCTCTCACACCGCAGCAGCTTCGTGACTGGTACGTCCGGCGCTTTCGCCGTCCTCGTGGCTCTGCTGGAGTTGGGGGTGCTGGAGCTGCTCGTCCTGGAGGTGCTCGTACTGGGGGTACTGGAGCTGCCGGGACTGGTTGTTCTGGGAGCACTGAGACTGGAGCTGCTGGAGCTGGGGACTCTGGAGCTGGCGGTGCTAGCGGAGTTGGAGCTGCCGGCTCTGGGGGTGCTCTTCCTGGCGGTACTGGAGCTGCTGGAGCTGACGACACTGGAGCTGACGGTTCTGGACACGGTGGTCCTGCTGGTTCTGGAGGTGCTGGCGAGGGGAGGTCTGACGCTGCTGGGGCCTCTGGTGCTGACGTCGCCGACTCGGGGGGTGCTGCGGCGGAGGGTGCTGGTCCTGGTGCTTCTGGTGCTGCGGGTGCTGGAGGTGCTGGCGGAGCTCCGCCGTCGCGCCTGTTCTTCGCTCCTCCGTCGCCGTCGGCTTTGCCGCCGCCTGACACGGTGCTTCGCCAGGTTCTTTCCCTCCCGTCTTCCACTGGCCTTCCCCTCCAGCCTGGCTCCCCCCTCCCTGCTCCTGTGCCTTACACTGCTCCTAAGCCTGCGTCTCGTCCTGCCTCGCCTGTTCGCGCTGCTCGCACTGCTCGCACTGGTCCCACTGGCCGTCGTGTCGCGCGTCCGCGTCCTCCTCCTGTTCCTGGCACGCACATTATGGCACTTCGTCCTTCCACTGGTCCACAGCGTGTCCCCCTACCGTCTCCTCCTGCGTCTTCTCTTCCTGACGTTCCCGACCCTGAGTCTGACAGTGTTCGTGCTGCCCACCCTACTGTTACGCGTCTTCTCGCCACTGTTGTCACTGACCCGTCGTTTGAGTCTTCTGCTGCGTCTGCCCTGGTCGCTGAGCTTGTCGACTTTGCTGCTGCCTGTCGCCTAGACTACGCCACCAGTCTTGTTGCTGAGTCTGAGTCTGTCTGTCCTCCGCCCGTCGGGGGTGAGTGTGCTCTTGGCACGGACGTCCTTGAGGACAGGCAGGAGGACTTTGACTCTCTTGCGGCTGCTGTACCTCATCTCGTGGCCTGGTTGCTTGCCCCTGAGGGAGACCCGGATGCACTAGACATCCCCACTCCGCGCACTTACGCAGAGGCGATCTCGGGTCCCTACTCCTCTCAGTGGCAGACAGCCATGGACGCAGAGATGGCTTCCTGGAAGTCTACAGGCACCTACGTCGACGAGGTTCCCCCTCCTGGGGCGAACATCGTCGATGGCATGTGGATTTTCAGGGTGAAGCGGCCGCCAGGTTCTCCACCTGTCTTCAAGGCTCGTTACGTTGCTAGAGGCTTCAGTCAGCGTCAGGGGGTTGACTTCTTCCAGACCTTCTCCCCCACCCCGAAGATGACCACTCTTCGGGTTCTGCTGCACGTTGCTGCTCAGCGTGACTACGAGCTTCACTCTCTTGACTTCAGCACAGCGTTCCTGCAGGGCAGCCTGCACGAGGAGATCTGGCTGCGCCGCCCACCTGGCTTTACTGGGTCGTTTCCTCCTGGTACCCAGTGGAGCCTCCGCCGGCCAGTCTACGGTCTCCGCCAGGCGCCACGTGAGTGGCACGACACACTGAGGACTACACTTGCGGCTCTTGGGTTCGCGCCGTCTACTGCTGACCCGTCGCTGTTTCTGCGCACAGACACGTCGCTGCCGCCGTTCTACATTCTCGTGTACGTCGACGACTTGGTCTTTGCTACTGCTGACACTGAGGCACTCGCTCGTGTGAAGTCGGAGCTGCAGAAGAGACACACCTGCACTGACCTGGGTGAGCTGCGTAGCTACCTTGGCTTGCAGATCACCCGGGACAGAGCACGCCGCACCATTACCCTGACTCAGTCACGCATGGTGCAGCAGGTCCTTCAGCGCTTCGGCTTCCAGTTCTCCTCACCTCAGGCCACACCTCTGGCTACCAGCCACTCGCTCTCAGCTCCACCTTCGGACGAGTCCGTAGAGCCGAGTGGCCCATACCCAGAGCTTGTAGGCTGCCTCATGTACCTGATGACTTGCACGCGACCTGACCTCGCGTACCCTCTTAGCATCCTTGCTCGTTACGTTGCGCCTGGGAGACACAGGCGAGAGCACTGGGAGGCTGCTAAGAGGGTGCTGCGTTACTTGTGCAGTACATCAGGCATGGGGCTGGTGCTTGGAGGACGCGACAGAGTTGTCCTCACTGGTCACTCGGACGCTTCTTGGGTGGACGACCTGGCTACGCAGCGGCCGTCACAGGGTTACACCTTCAGCCTTGGCTCTGGTTCTGTCTCGTGGCGGTCCACCCGCTCTTCTTCTGTTCTCGGCTCTAGTTGTGAGGCTGAGATCTACGCCACGGCCATGGCTGCACAGGAGTTACGCTGGCTCACCTACCTGCTGACTGACTTGGGAGAGCGGCCTAGTTCTCCTCCAGTTCTGTACGGTGACAACAAGGCGGCCCTTGCCTTGTGTCAGGAGCACAGACTGGAGCACAGGACGAAGCACATTGCTCTTCGCTACTTTCTTGCTCGAGAGCTTCAGCAGCGCGGTCAGCTTCGGCTTGTGTACGTGGACTCGAAGGCCAACACTGCTGATATCTTCACCAAGGCGCTCCCGCCTAGTGATCATCAGCGGCACTGTACTTCCTTAGGCCTTGTGTCCACATTCTCTCATTTGCTTACTGCTTGACTTTCTTTGTACTGTACTTTATATATATCTTGTTGCTTGCTTGCTAGGTCTTGATCACTGTGTTGCTTGTCTTGTACTATATCTAGCACTGCATGTGAACTGGCCTTGTGGCCTTTGCTTGTGCTCGGAGTGTGGTGACGTTGTGATCCACCCTGGGCTTGCTTTGCTTTGCTGGACTGGTCTTGTGACCCTTTGTTCTCCCCCACTTTGCCTATGGGGGTGTGTTAAACTGTGTTATGTTGGTAGGCTGTAGTGGGGTAGCCAATATGGGGTACAACCCCAACTAGGGTTTGCTACTTGTACCCAACTGTTTCATTCAATGCATCATTCTCACGCTAGTATTCTGAAAGTTTGTGGGGGTAGCTGCAGAGCAGGTTAGCATGTGAGGTTTGGGGTGCTGGAGGGTGACGCTTTGGGAGTGAAATGATTTTTTATGTACATACTAGAGTGAGGGTGGTTGTGCCAACGCTTGTCATTGCTTGTTTTCCTGTTATGTTTTCCTCTTTTGTTTTCCCTCTACCTTAACCATTGTACAACCCCTGCCTCCCCCCCTTCCCCACTCCAACATACACTCCCCCACCCTACCCCCTCCCTTTCCCCCACCCCCTCTCCCTGTAACCTCCTTCTGCGCATTCTGTTTCCTCTCTCCCTTCCATTGCCCCTTTCATTCCACTCTCTATATCCATTCCCTCTCCTTACTGTATATCATTGTGATCTCCATTAGTTGCTGAATGTTCCATAATGTTTACTGCGTGACCCGAAACACGCAACGAATACATGATATGTGGGGAAATCCTTCATGTTTTTATTCGTTTATGGAGGCTGAAGTATATAGGTAGAGAAACAGAACGCTTCAATTTGCATCATCCTCACCCAGAGACTTCTCCAGACATTTAATAATGTGAAGGAACCCATGTCTTGTAAAGTGTGTAAAAAATACATGGATTTTACTCTCTAAAGCATAGTCGGAGCAACAAACTCTCTTCTATTTCCCGCTTTCAACCCTTCCTCAAAGCGGACTCTGAAATAGGGGAGCTTATGTACCAGGGTATTCTGTCATGCAGTATCAGGTGTGTGAGGGACCACAAAAGAATGCAATGGACATTACAGTGGCATAACAATGAAATTACAGCATGCCAATGTAAATACAAAGGAAGGCCAGGTTTTTAGTGCGCTGAAGCCTCGCAGTGCTTGTTGTAAGCGTCATCATCAAGCAAGTCGTTCAGCTCTGCAGGGTTGGCAATCTTCACCTTCATGATCCACCCATCAGCGAAGGGAGACGTATTCACCTGAAGCAATAAGTGATAGAGAGTCAGCACAATGTCACACGGGATGGACGGGAGATTGGGAAAGCAGTGTAAGTCTCCTCCTGTTCCGCAATCTGCTCATGTTAAATGCCGGAAGACAGATGCGTGAGACTCACCAGAGCAGGGTTGCTGCCGAGCTCCTCGTTCGTCTCAACAACCTCTCCGGTGACGGGCGAGTACACGTCACTGGCGGCCTGTATGTTACATGCATCTTTTTTTTTTCTAACAAGGCTTTTCTTTTGTTGCAGCAACTTATCTTTTAAAGCGAGCAGGCAAAATAGTCACCCTTGGCCCAGTTTGAAACTCTGGCACTGTTTAGAGAGGGTGCTCTGGGCTCGACAAGATGGGGCTCACTGTCCATTTGACCCGTGTCATTCCAAGGTACAGGCTGAAACAAAAACAGGCGATTGGACAACAATGTCCTGGGTCGAATGCGAACAATGGCATTGGTGGGTCTGCTCGCAAGCAAACGAAGGCACCGCGTGGGTTATCCTGTGCGACAGGGGATCGAAATCGAATGTCATGCTCTGCTGGGAGAGGAGTACACGAAATGAACTGACGCGCTGGGAACAGAGCCACAAAACCAGGTGCAAAAACAGAAGTGCGCAAGACTGGGTCCACTGGGCCCAATTTGAGCTTCAAAGTGGACCTGGGTTGCACTCTGGCTTGCCATACTATTTTCACGTCATACGGCACTAGAGACTCCAGAGCAAAGGGAGAGTAACCCACCACGGCTTAGTAACGCGTGAAAGGGGCCGCGCGCGTAGCGTTGTTTTTCTGTTTCGGTCATAGCTGTCAATCGTGTGCCTTCTCAGTGCTGGCGCCGTCAGTATCAGTCAGTACTCCCCATTTCCCCTTTCCCCTGTCACTCCATGTTTCCCCTTCCCCCAGTCCCTCAGCATTTCCCCTTGTCCTGTCACTCCCCTTATCCCCTTCCCCCAGTCCCTCCCCATTTCCCCTTTTCTCTGACCTTCCCCATGTTCCCTTCCAATGCCAGCCCAATTCCCCTTGTCCCTGTCACTCCCCATTTCCCCTTTCCCCTGTCACTCCATGTTTCCCCTTCCCCCAGTCCCTCAGCATTTCCCCTTGTCCTGTCACTCCCCTTATCCCCTTCCCCCAGTCCCTCCCCATTTCCCCTTTTCTCTGACCTTCCCCATGTTCCCTTCCAATGCCAGCCCAATTCCCCTTGTCCCTGTCACTCCCCATTTCTTCTTTTCCCTGTCACTCCTTGTTTCCCTTCCCCCAGTCCCTCAGCATTTCCCCTTGTCCTGTCACTCCCCTTATCCCCTTCCCCTTTGTGCTTTCCCATCTCCTCTTCTTTCTCACACCACAATTTCCCCTTCCGTTTTGTCTCTCCCACTTCCCCTGCCATTTGTCCCTCCCATTTCCCATCCCCCCTGTCCCTCCCATTGCCACTTTCCTCTGTCCCTCTCAATTCCCCTTCCCTCTGCCCCTCCCCATATCCCTTCTCTCTGTCGCTCCCCATTCCCTGTTCCCAACACTGCATGTTACCCCTTCCCTCTGTCCCTCCCCATTTCCCCTTCCCTCTGTCCCTCCCCATTTCCCCTTCCCTCTGTCCCTCCCCATTTCCCCTTCCCTCTGTCCCTCCCCATTTCCCCTTCCCACTATCTCTCCCATTTCCCCTCCCCTCTCCTCCCACTTTCCCCTTCCCCTTTCTCTGTCCCTCCCCATTTCCCCTACCCTCTGTCCCTCCCCATTTCCCTTCCCTCTGTCCTGCCCCAATCCCACTTCACTCTGTCCCTCCACATTGCCCCTTCTCTCTGTCACTTCCTTATTCCCTTTCCCATACACTCCATGTTACCCCTTCCCTCTCACTTCCAATTGCCACTTCCTCTGCCCTTACCCAAATCCCCTTTTCCCTCTCCCTCCCATTGCCACTTTCCTCTGTCACTCCCATTACTCCTTCCCTCTGTCCCTCCCCATTTCCCTTCCCTCCGTCCCTCCCCTTTTTGCCATCCGTCTGTCCCTCCCTAATTTGCCAATCCCTCTGTCCCTCCCCATTTTGCCTTCCCCTCTGTCCCCAATTTCAGGCACAAACGGACTCACTTGCACACATCCGCGCATGCAACATTTCGATCGGTTCTGGTGTCGGGCTAGCGCGCGCTGCGCCGTGCCTCAACAGAATCGATACTAGCTTCGACTAATCGCCGCGGGAGGTGCTACTACAGCTATGCTACTCAGTGTCGAGCGGCTTTGGTGCCAGACATTTAGTCAGGGGGTTGGCAGGGCGTGTTCGAGATGGGCGCTGCTCATTTCTCACGTGGCTTCTGTTGAATATGTTTCAATTGGGGTGGTTCTGTCGCGGGTTGCTGGTGCTGCAGGAGTGTTCATTCTGCCTTGACGGTCCAATCAGAAGATGCAAATCCTACACATGATTGGGTGAGGAGAAGGTTTGATCGCTAATGCATTCACAATGCTGTCGCCAACCACACATGCGATCAACTGGACCCTGATTTTTTTTTTTGCTCCCCTCCCGTGGGGTACATGCCTCCTTTCTCTTGGCGCGTAAATTCTGGCCATCCACCCGCACTCCTTCCCGCCACTTCACTCATTTCAACCTGGACCCAACTAGAAAACGGGGTCACTATTTTGCCTGCTCGCTTTAATGCAGAAGCAGTGTGAACTGATGTTTACTCTAAACCTCTAGATGCCACAATCACCCCATTATAGCGCGTCTATTCCATTAACAACGTGGAGACCCATCCCAACCCTTTCTAACCGAACCCAACATAGTCAAATTCAAGCTCGCAGGTCGCTCTCCCCCCAGCAGCAAACCAACTTCGGGAATACCTTGACTGCCTGCTACTCGCCACACGAACAGCCGTACTTTTCCGCCGTTGCTTTCCCGCCATGGTCAATCCCGTCCAACTTTTCGCACTACCTTTCTCGTGCTCCTCTCTTAGCACGACATGATGCATGGCGTTTGCGTCCCTGGTACCGCCGTTGGTGTCTAGGGTTCTTCGTCACTCGACTCGATACGCAGGGTTTCATTTCGGGGTTGGCGACGGCGTCGTGTAAGCTTGCACGATCACGCGAACTGTTTCAACTGGCATTAGATTCTCTTTCATCGCAATGCTAGTTGCTTGGTGGTGAGTCGTCACCAGACATTAATTAGCCCGCTAAGAGTGCAGTCACTTCACAATATCACTAGCTACTAGGTTCATCGCACTACACTCTTTCAACGTAATGTTATTGTAGATTTATTTTTATTCACCACTGTAAGATCAACTGCATTACTGCGTTTCGCGCCACCCGTCCATGGAAGCAACCAGCTGCAGCAAGCTCGTCGCCAGATAGCGCCAGCCAATCAGCTTGCTCGCCGTTTGTCGTGACAGTCGCTGCGACTATCTCGCGCCGCCACGGATGGAAGGCGACTCTACGCCCGCGCCGCCCACGCCGAGGCCGGGGGGCTCGCCGCGAATCCTCGTGGCCGTCGACGAATCGGACGGCGCCGAAGCCGTGAGTGACTTCTGAGACCTCGGCGTCTCAAAAGGCGTCGAGGCCGTGAGTGCCGCGCGTGCCGCCGCTGCTTCTCCGCCTCTACCGCTCTTTCCCCCTCCCTTCTTCCCCCTCTTCTCCCTGTTTTCTCCCCTTCCCCCTGTTTCCTCCCCCCCGTTATCCCCTCTCCCCTCTCCACCCCACCCTCTTCTCCCCCTCCCACTCTCTCTCCCCCTCCCCCTCCCCCTCCCCCTCCCCCTCCCCCTCCTCATCAACACCCGCTCTGCCCTCGTCTGCCCGCTCTCCCCACCCCTCTCGTCTCCCTCACCTCCGTGCATGCGCGGACGGGCATGCCCCGCAGGCCTTCCGCTACGCGCTCACGCTGCTGAGGCGCAGCGACAACATTTACGTGCTGCACGTGCTCGACCCGCGCACCTGTGAGTTGCCCCACCCACCCAACCCATACTATACCATACCATGCCATGCCATACCATACCATGCCATTCCATACCATACCATGCTATCCCATACCATGCCATGACATTCCATACCATGCCATACCGTACCGTACCGAGCCGTGCCGAGCCGTGCCATGCCATGCCATGGCGTACCGTACCGTACAGTACCATACGATACCGTACCGTACCGTAATGCCGTGCCGTGCCGTGCCGTGCCATGCCATGCCATGCCGTACAGTACCGTACAGTACCATACGATACCGTACCGTACCGTACCGTTCCATGCATCACTGAGCCCTCCCGAGGCGCAGCGACAGCAACTATGAGCTGCACGTGCTTGACTCGCGCACATGTGCATATGCTGCCACATCCGCCCCACCCAACCATGTAATGCCGTGCCATGCCATGCCATGCCGTACCATGTGTGAACCACCCCCCTGCAGCACAGCGACAACCATCTACGTGCGGCAATTGCTCATGCCATGCCACGCCACACCATGCCACGCCATGCATGCGACGCCATGCCATGCCATGCCATGCCATGCCACGCCATGCCATGCCATGCCGCGCCACCCCATGCGATGCGATGCCATGCCATGCCATGCCATGCCATGCCATGCCATGCCATGCCATGCCATGTCTGTAAACTTTCTGCCAGCCCTTCACATTCCTCTGCTCATGACGTCACTCGTGGGCAGCAGTGGCATCAACCCCCTCTGTTCTTCACCGCTCCTCCCTTGGCGCTCCATCCCCATCTCGTCACATCCCATCCCACCCCATCCCATCCCATCCCATCCCATCCCACCCATCGGCCCTGGCAGTGGCAGCATGGAGGGCGGAGGCGCAGCAGGGGGGGGCGGGAAGCAGCAGCGGCAACAGTGAGGTGCAGGCAGGCATCGACGCGCGGGTAGACGCACTGCTGCACCGCTATCGCAAGCTGGCGCACGGGAAGGGAGTGAGTGTCACTTGGTTGGGGGTGAGGTGAGGATGGTGTGCGGGGTGTGTGTTGTTGCGGGCTGCTGCACCGCTATTGCAAGCTGGCGCATGGCAAGGGGGTGAGTATAGTGGATGGGGTGAGTGAGTGTGGTTGGAGGGGTGAGTGTGGTGGATGGGGTGAGTGTGGTTGGAGGGGTGAGTGTGGTTGGAGGGGTGAGTGTGGTTGGAGGGGTGAGTGTGGTTGGAGGGGTGAGTGTGGTGGGCGGGGGTGAATGTCTCTGGTGGGGTGGGTTGAGTCGCGTAAAGCCGCCACATGCTATGCGTGTCTTGACTCTTAAGGCATCTCAAAAGTTGCCCTGCCGTGTCTTGCAAAGCTACCATGTAACTGCACATGCACACCGCATCTGCCCACCATGTAAATGCTAGTGCCACTGCACGCCTCACTCCGCCATGCCGCCAGGTGACCTGCCATGGCGTGTCGCGCAAGGCCAGTGACCGGCGGCAGGAGATATGCGAGGCGGTGGTGCGGCAGGACATAGAGCTGCTGGTGGTGGGCACGAGACAACTCAGTGCTGTTGCCCGGTGAGTGGTGAGGGCAGGTGAGGGAATGCGGGTGTGGGCAACAGGTGCAGCTGGTGTAGCTCTATAGGGCGGTGGTGTGGCAGGACATAGAGCTGCTGGTGGTGGGCACGAGGCAACTCAGTGCTGTTGCCCGGTGAGTGGTGAGGGCAGGTGAGGGAATGCGGGTGTGGGCAACAGGTGCAGCTGGTGTAGCTCTATAGGGCGGTGGTGTGGCAGGACATAGAGCTGCTGGTGGTGGGCACGAGACAACTCAGTGCTGTTGCCCGGTGAGTGGTTAGGGCAGGTGAGGGAATGCGGGTGTGGGCAACAGGTGCAGCTGGTGTAGCTCTATAGGGCGGTGGTGTGGCAGGACATAGAGCTGCTGGTGGTGGGCACGAGACAACTCAGCGCTGTTGCCCGGTGAGTGGTGAGGGCAGGTGAGGGAATGCGGGTGTGGGCAACAGGTGCAGCTGGTGTAGCTCTATAGGGCGGTGGTGTGGCAGGACATAGAGCTGCTGGTGGTGGGCACGAGACAACTCAGTGCTGTTGCTTGGTGAGTGGTGAGGGCAGGTGAGGGAATGCGGGTGTGGGCAACAGGTGCAGCTGGTGTAGCTCTATAGGGCGGTGGTGTGGCAGGACATAGAGCTGCTGGTGGTGGGCACGAGACAACTCAGTGCTGTTGCTTGGTGAGTGGTTAGGGCAGGTGAGGGAATGCGGGTGTGGGCAACAGGTGCAGCTGGTGTAGCTCTATAGGGCGGTGGTGTGGCAGGACATAGAGCTGCTGGTGGTGGGCACGAGACAACTCAGCGCTGTTGCCCGGTGAGTGGTGAGGGCAGGTGAGGGAATGCGGGTGTGGGCAACAGGTGCAGCTGGTGTAGCTCTATAGGGCGGTGGTGTGGCAGGACATAGAGCTGCTGGTGGTGGGCACGAGACAACTCAGTGCTGTTGCCCGGTGAGTGGTGAGGGCAGGTGAGGGAATGCGGGTGTGGGCAACAGGTGCAGCTGGTGTAGCTCTATAGGGCGGTGGTGTGGCAGGACATAGAGCTGCTGGTGGTGGGCACGAGACAACTCAGTGCTGTTGCCCGGTGAGTGGCGAGGGCAGGTGAGGGAATGCGGGTGTGGGCAACAGGTGCAGCTGGTGTAGCTCTATAGGGCGGTGGTGTGGCAGGACATAGAGCTGCTGGTGGTGGGCACGAGACAACTCAGCGCTGTCGCCAGGTGAGCGAGTGCTCAAGGTGTCTACGGTGTGACTCTATCGAGCTGCTGCTGCTGCAACTGTCACTCTCTAGATCAATGGTCTGGCAGGGCGTCGAGCTGATGGTGTCACTCTATGAAGCTGCTGCTTTGCTGCTGCTGGTGTGGGTGGTGCTTATGGTGGTGGTGGCGGCTGCTGCTGCTGCTGCTGCTTCTGCTGTTGCTGCTGGTGAATGCTGATGGCGGTGTGGTTTGAGCGGTGGAAGGAGTGGTGATACTGCAAGATGAGCAGAAATTGGTCCAAATTTGGCGCTCAGATTCGGCACAAAGCCTTTATTCTGCAGCTGCTTTCACCCTAGAGAGTGTTACCTGCTGATGGACGAGTGAGCGACTACCTGCTGCACAATTAACGTCTCTCTTTCCGTATGTTTTATCTTTCTCTCTCCTCCCCTCCCATTCCCCCTTTCAACCCCACCACCCCCCGCTCCCGCTCCCCCCCACAACCCACCTTGTGCCCACTCCCCATGGCCATAAAGGGCAGCGAGAGCGACTACCGGCTGTGCCACCGGCATCTTTCTTTCCCCCCCTTTCATCTTTCTCATCTCCATCCCACACTCACTCCCCCCTCAACGCTCACCGTCATGGCCGTAACGGGCAGCGTGAGCAACTGCTGGCGGTGTTTCTGGCGTCTCTCTTTCCTTCTCAGTCATCTTTCTCTTCCCCCATCCCCCACTCACTCCCCCCCCCCCAAACACTCACCCCCAGGGCCGTTAAGGGCAGTGTGAGCGACTACCTGCTGCACAACTGCTCTTGCCCCGTGCTGGTGGTGCCCTGGGAGCACATGCTCAAGTTCAAAAGCCTCTCGTCATTCAACGTGCGATAGCCCCTCCTCTGTCAACACCCGCTATCCTCTTTCCGTTCCATCCATCCATCCATCTCGCCCAAGAGCCTGCCTGGGAGCACACGACACCTGCTCCAGTTCCCTCGTGCCTGGGATCAGACGCCTCTCTTGCTCGTGCTGCCCTGGGACTCGGGCGCACATGCTCAAAGTTCAAGACTCGAGCCCCCCCTCCTCCATCTTTTTCTTGAGCATCTGCTAGCCCCAATTCCTTCATGTCGCAAGCTCAA